CAGCCTATACTGATAGTGCTGGTTACAATGGCCCAGGTGCAGAACCCTGCATTTGGCCTTGTTGAACTTCATAAGGTTCATCTGGGCCCACCTATCCAGGTCTCTCTGGATGGCATCCCATCCCTCTAGCATAGCAACTGCACCTCCCAGTTTGGTATGGTCAGCGAACTTGCTGAGGGTGCACTCAGTGCTGCTGTCAATATCATTAATGAAGATATTAAACAACACTGGCCCCAACACAGATGCCTGAGGGACGCCACTCGTCACCATCCTCCATCTGGACATCACTCTCTTGATGCGTCCATCCATCCAGTTCTTTATCCTCTGAACAGTCCAGCCATCAAAACCATAATTCCCCAATTTAGAGATTAGGATGGTGTGGGGAACCATGTCAAAGGCCTTGCAGAAGTCCAGATAGACAACATCCCTAAGTCTTTCCCTGTTGACTGAAGCAGTCACTTCATTATAGAAGGCCACTAGGTTGGTCAAGCAGGACTTGCCCCTAGTAAATCCATGCTGACTACCTAGGATTACCTCCCTGTCCTCCATGTGCCTTAGCATGTCTTTTGGGGGGATCTGTTCCATGATCTTCCCAGGCACAGAGGTGAGGCTGACAGGTTGGTAGTTTCTAAGGTCATCTTTTTTACCCTTTTTAAAGATGGGCACGAAGTTACCCTTTTTCCAATTGCTAGGACTTCACCTAGAGTGACAGGGCAGATGTCTCTGTGCAGATGTCAGTGGGTCCTCAGTTACTGCTTGGATGCAAGCCGTAATTACAGCTTGTAGGCTGGGCACCTTGATGCAGATGGTTGCTTGACGGGTGCTTTGTTGTAACTCGGTGGTGTCTGTTTCTGCATGTTCTGCTCCACGGTTCTTGGCGGCCTTTTGGAAATCCATGCCATGTATGGACCTGTGCTTGCAGCCCAGTATGCAGGAGGGGCTCTCAACCAGATGGGCGTGTGGTGGTGGAGTGGGAGAATTTGCTTTCGGAGCAGGGTTGTGTGGTAAGAGAGTGAGGAGCAGGGAAAGCATGGCCCAAGCTCCTGGTCTGTGGCATGAAGCACATGCTTAGGTGAGTGTCCCGGGTGGAGCTGTGGGTGAGGGGAAGTGCTGGGGCTTGAGAGGTGAAGCTGTGGCTGGGCTGAGCTCGAGATCACGCCTCAGAGGACCAGCAAGAACTGGTCTGGGGAGGGGAGACTGCAGTGAAGCAATGGGGAAGGTGAAGTTGGTCTGATACTTGGGTCCTTTTGGCTTGCATGGTGGGCAGGAATTGTTGTGCATATCTTCTCTGTTAAATATTCTGCTTTTAAAGTTTAATATTTAAAACTTTAACATAAAACCTATGCAAATATCATTAAAGGAAAAATGGCCTATAGAATAATATAATAATATACATTTTATATTTATAAAGTAATACAAATAAAATTGAAGAAAATATTAAAGGAAAAACACATTAATTTTTCTAAAAAAGGTTAATTAAAGAAAAATGTCATTAAAGGAAAGAAAACAGAAGACAGTGTAGGTGCACTTTGCCTGAGCCGGCTCAAGTCCCAGGCCCAGGGCTGTGAGCTGCTCCTGCTGGGGCCGGGACTGGTGGGTGCTCCAGTAACTGTGGTAACATGTGTAGCAAACAAGAGCCTGCTACTACTGTGATTTTTTTCAGCGTGAGTGAAACTCTGATTAAATTAATTCTGAATGTCTCTTTGATAAAGTGCATAGTTTGAATCCCTGCATTTAGTAGTATAAGGCCTCTTTTATCATCCTTTAATCATATTCACAGATCTTTCCTGAGTTTTCTTCATGTTGTTACTGTTCTTCTTGAAGGCTCTATGTAAGCACTAGACACAGCATTTGAACAGTGATCATATCTGTGTCAAGGACAAAAATAAGATCTCCCTGCTCCTCCTTGATGTAGCTGTTTACCAATTAGCTGTCTAACCAGTCTTCTGCTGAAAGCTTCTGTTCAACCACTTATTAGCTGATGCATGTCCCTATTTTTCTGTTGAAGTTCAGCATCCCTGAAGAGGATCAGTCTGTAGTGTGCGTGTGATGTGCCACCTTTCTTCCTGGCTGGGCATTTATGGTTTATTCTACTGAAGTGCACATCACTGATCAGCTTGTCACCAAAGAACACAGACTGTTCCATGTTAGTGGCACATCATCTCCATTATTTATCAATCTTCCTGCCTTTGCTTTTACCTTCAAAATCAGTATATATTGTACATCCACGTAAATTTTTATAGAAAAAAAAATACACATATATATGAAGCTAAATTGCATGAGGCCAGTGCCAGAACTTTGTGAGGCCCACTCAGACAGCAAATGAACTATCCAGTAACCCTGTTCCCTTGCTTGAGACTACCATTCCTGTGCTGAAAGCTGTTGAATGGGCAGCATGCTCCTGAATTGCTTAATTTCACACCTGCCATTTGAAAATGAGTAGATGTTGATATATATTTTTAATAAAATATCACACTGTAAACTTTAGGATTTGGAAGCAGTCACCTGGTTGCTTTTCCAGTTCCCCTGTGAAAAGCACTCTAGGCTGGACGTGTGGATAGGTAACTTCTACAGTAGCCACAGCTAAACCTAGCACAGCTTGTGACCTCATATCAAAGATATCTATTGATGATTTTTATTTAAAAAGTACATCTGGGAACCTGTCTGTCTTTGTTGTTTGTTGTGTTTTATTTAAATATTTTTTATTTATTCCATTTAAGTATGCTGGAATGATTTTTGTATTTCATTTCTCAAAGTGCTAAGTGACAGACATGCTGTATATCTTGGGGTAACATCATTATTGCTATCTTTGTCAGGAAAAGCTTGTGGGCTCATCAAAAGTGTCAATAAAAAGGCATTAAATCCTTGTTGACTTTGGTAAGTGTAATACTCTTCTCCATTTAATAATTCAGTAATCAAATCTTGTGTGAATTGTTTTCCTTGGTGTTGGTTTGTAGCCGACAAGCCTCTGCCCAGCTTACCCTGTTGAAATATTGGAACAACTTTATTTTACCTTCATGGAATTTCTTGAATGTTCCAAGAATTATAGAAAATTTACAGTAAAGGTCATAAGCCGTTCTGAGTTGGATAATCCCGCGGAAGGTGTTCTATTAAGACTTGCAATATATGCAGATGAATTCAGCAGTGAGAAAGTTGTCTGCGTGGCAAAGCAGATGTAAAACAGTGGATGTGAAGAATATCTTTTTGTTTAGTCAGACCCTTGGTGTGTATTGTACATCTAAAGAAACTTAACAGAAATTAGTAATTTAGAAATGTGATTTTGTTGCTATGGTAATTCAAGCACATGCTTTGTGTTACATTCCTTCTTCAATTTTAGGTCTTTTGGGTAAATTATCATTAATAAATGCCTCACATGCAGAGATTATTTGCATGTCATGATTACTGCTTGATCCAGATCTGTTTGGCCTCCTAAATTCTGTTTGGAGAATGCGGTTATCAGTGATGTGACAGCTGACCTGTGTAACTGTGCCAGCAGAAGTTTCCACAGATGTTTAAGCTTCTTGTGTAAATTATATTTGTACACTTTTGAGTAAGTGTACGTTTCTTCCTGCAAATGGTTGTATCTGAGCACAGGTACTTCTACTTGTTTGCTTCTGACATTGCTATATTTACAAGAAAGTTAAGGTGCTAATCTGGTAACAGCTTTTAACTGGAGTTTGACATGAGTTCTTGCTCCCAAACTATTTCAAAAGGAAGACTATTCATTGTGGCAGCTTTCCCTTTCTTAGCATCTGACTGCAATTCTTTCCCTCCAAACAGCTGATACCTCTGTTATTCATCACAGAAGAAAGATAAAAAAAGAACAAAAAGTGGGAGGAGGGAGCTTTCTCAGGCAGTTCTGCTACTGCTGAAACTGCGTCTGTCAGCTCAACAGCTGCCTTCAGTCTCCTGTGATCATTTGCACCTCCCCACATTTAAGCCTTTTTGCATCTTCTGCTGCACTGATCAAGCTCTTTTCTGGCTGTGTGGGTGGAAGACAACCATTTTTACTGGTCCTTTTTTCAAATCTGTTATTGGTTGTGCCTGCCAGCAAGGTGATCAGCCTCATTATATAGGCAAAGCTGTGCTCTTGGTTATATTACTTGCCCTACTTTGGCCAAAATATACTATGCCAGTGAAAGTAATGTTAGATATGTCTTTGTCTATATATGAGGTTTTGCCAGTGCAAATGTATTTATCAGAGAATGCTCTTCATCATCTTTATTATCAACGTAATTGTGTCAGTAGAAGTGTTTGCAAAGGTTTAAGCATGTAATGTAAACTTGTGTTATTTAGAAAAACGAATGTCAAAAAGGAGACTGTCAGAAATGTTATTGTATGCATATATTCAAACCAAACATCACCATTTTCTTTAATCTGAGGTTCATAAATTCTGACTAAAACCAAAACCTGGCTTCGAAGGCCTCTGATCCCATTTGGTACTTGGTTTGTGGGAGTCTGTTGATCTGACTAATTTTTATTTTTGCATTTGTTTTATTTTGAAAAGCTTTTTTGTTAAGCTCTGCTGATGGCAGTAATGGAACAGTTAACTGGACGACTAAGCAAGCCCACAGTTATATTATCAGCAGAATAAAGGCTGTTGAGAAGAATGGTGAGTTTAGGTTGTAAATTTACATCCCATGTTGGTTCAGTCAAATCTGCTTTTAATATTACTCTTGCTTTTCCAGTCATGTCCTTGTTTTTAGAAATAAGGTGCTGTTTTAAGGTAAGTAGTCTGGAAAATTTTGCATTTCTTCAATCTTTTAAACATTCACAGACCTGCGTGTGTTTTGTGAGTCTTACCCAACTTTTCGTGCTCCTGTAGCTTTGCTTGAAGCCGTGGCTGTGTGCACACCTAATGCTGCGCATTGTCTTGTCACAGCTGGCTGCTTGGAGGTAGCTCTGCAGCTCGCTTAATACAATAACTTCTCTGTAACAATTTCTTAAAAAAACCTTCTCAAATATGTACGTAAAAAGACTTATTTTACTGTCATTCATGCAAGTGCACATAGACTATTGTAGCAAGTGTACGCTAGCTGAGAAAAGGCTTTGCACTGGTTGCCCATCCAGGCAGGCAATCTGAATTGGCCCTCAAATCAAGTCATTTCTGGGATTGTGCTTCATGTGCTAAAAGTCAGTGGGGAGAGATCTCATTGTAGCTCCCAGAAAAAATGTACTGATGGATGTTTTCCTGAGGATCATCAACACCCAGGCTTCAACCAATACGGTAAATCTGCTGAAATTTCTGGAGACGGGGGTCGTCTGTATTTAATAACAGGCTCTGGGCTGGAGGCTGATAGAATCCTAGCTGAATTGCTGGCAGTGCTCATGTTCAAGACCTGCAAGAAGAGCAACCAGGACAGATTCTGTACGTTTCAAAAAAAGTGACCTGTTTTACAATCTTTGGTTCCAAATTCATTTGCTTCTTTCCAAGTCTTCAGAACTTCTAACCTTTCTATGTCTCTGCACCTTGGGATCTATGTAAAAAGTCCTCCAAGGTACCTAGAAACAAGAAAGAAGAAAACATTGCTGTCAAGGCAGCTGATAACTCTTTATTCTGCAAGGATCTGTTGTGATCTGATGGAGTGAAGATTATTAATTTCCCATAGTTAGTTTTACAGAAGCCTTTCACAGCACCCAAGATTTTTATCTAATGCAGGGAACTTGCCTGGGCAATTTACACCTGGCAATCTGTTGTGTTAGATGAGCTTCTAGAAGTTGACAAGTGTATTCATTTTCATTCCTAGATCACTGAAGATGATTACACATTCAGCACCAGTTAGGAAAATAACCACAAGTTCTAAAAGCTTCTGAAGAAAGTAGCATTTCACTTGCTTCGATACTTGCTTCAAAAGAGTGGTTGCTGTAGTGGGCTGAAGATTCAACCATTTTCCTTCTGATTTTGAAGGAACTTCCTAGGGGAAAAGGAAGAGGGCTTCTCTGGCAAGAGAGGCAAGAACTTTCAAGTTCTCGATCTCCATACTTGTCATTTCAATGTGTTTGTCATTATAAGACGAAATAAGTTTGTGGGTTTTTTTCCTTCTGAGAGGCATTTTTAGTCTTGCACAAAGATCACTGTGTTATGGCTGCCTGAAGCCCTTATTGGTAGCTTAGTTCAGCAACAGAGAACATCTCATTATTGGGAATAAGCAGGCATTTAGTGGTGTCAAGAAATTTCCTGTAAAAGACAGAAGTATGTTACATTGTGGGTTTTCTTGAGTAGCTATTCTGTTATCCTTCTTCCTTTCTAAAACTTGCTTGTGGAGAAAATATACATGACTTTTTCAGTTTTTCCTGTCTGAAATGGATTTTCATCATAGAGTCAAAGCATCAGAAGTGGAAAATTGGATTTTTCTAGATATTTGATGCTTTTACAGCCAGCCACTGTATTTTTGTCAGCTTTGTTTCTCTATTACTGTTATAAATTTACTTTTTCCAGCTTTTCCGGAAAATATTTTGAAGGAGATTAGTTTCTTTGCTCTGTTTACAGTTAATTTACAGAAGTGATTGTAGAAATATTTTGGGTCATCAATTTACTGATTTTAATTATACAACTCAAATCACTATGTTACTGTACTTAAATGAAGCTGACATAATTAAAATTACAGTAACTAGTTTATTGAACACACTAAATTGTAATAAACTATTTAAATTTAAAGATCCATTTTAATTTTGTCTTTAGGGTAAATTTATTGGGAAGTTATTCTGTTCAGTACTGTGTTAAAAGAGATTTTCCAAAAGTGGGAAAAAGGAACTGCTGTAGAACTTGATCAGTAGTATATCCAGAGCTTGAGATTATAGATTCTGCAGTATCAGGCTCAAAGAGTGGGAAGTGTGTAACTAAATGTAGAGGTCTATGTTAACAGATGTCTGTATCTCCTCTTGGCTGCCTCTGCAGTCAGTGGAGATCTACTCTGTGTAGTTAGAAATCTAGGACATGATTCATCTCAGTTTACAGGCAAAATCAAATTAATCAGCCCCTAGAAGAGTCTGTTTCTTCTCCACTGACTATAAAAGGAGCCTGACTAACTCAGTGGTGGATGTTGTTTCTGTAGGCATCTAAAATTAGGTGAGATAGATTCCACATGGAGTACGTGATGAGAGGGATAGAATGCCTGTAATTAATGCCTAATTAGGAGTGGCTTTTAAAGTAAGAAGTAAGTTTTAAGTAAGTGAGTTTTAAGTTGGTATAAGAAGGTTTGTATAATAATAATGCTGGCAAAATTCTACAAGGATTAGAAAACTGCATGAGCGTGATCCGCATGTTGAATGTATCGTGCATATTGATTCAAGAGTTGAAATTAGACCTTTTATCTTCTAGGAGGCACGGGGCTGTTCCTACGAGTTTGTTACGATGACTCTCGAGTGTTTTGGAGTCACTTCTCCCCGTGACAGCAGCCCGTGCTGGGTGGCCTGTAATCTTTGTTCAGAGGTGTGAGTTCTCAGAGTTTCTTTCCGTTTAGCACGCAGGGCAGGTAGCTGTGTGTCTCTGTATCTGTGACTTGCCTTTGCCTACTGTTTGTGTAATCCTCATCTCACTGACAAGAATTGTCAGCAATGATTGATTCTTTCAGGGCATTGACTTAAAATTGAGTAGTAATAGGGAATCGTACAATGACCTACAGTGTGTCGTGCTGCGGCACCATGAAGAATACCTATTAGATCAGTATTCTCCATTTATACTTGAATTTTTAAACTTGTCAATGAAGTGGTTTCTTCCCCATTTAATATATCGTAATGATTTTTTATATTCTTCTGATTCATTAAAATGTGTATATAGTACTGTGTCAAATTTGTTATACCTAAATAAGATTGGCCTTTTTCAACTAAATTTGTAATTACATAAAAAATAGCATATTGCTTTTACATAAAAAATAGCATATTGCTTTTACATATGCTGGTGGTTCTAACTTGGTTCCTTTAGGTTTTTAATTCTGAGCCCTATAAAATACGTCTTCATTTTTTTTTTGTTAGGAATCAGTAACACTTTACTGGCTTATAACTGCCAGTGTCCTTCTGTTTTATCCTTCAATGTAAGCACAATATCTTCAATAATGGACTCTCTAGGTAGGTTTTTAGATATATGTTGTCTGAACTTGCTGGTCTAAGCAAGTCTAGCTATAAGAACTCTGGTAACCTCAGCTGAGTGAATTGCTTTGAACTTTTCTGCCCAAGAGCTGAAAAATCTGCCATTTCCATTCAGTGAGGGGTCAGTACCACTGATGGGTAAGGTTCTTCTGTATTTCTCATGTTCCTTATTATGTAAAATATCAAGAAAACACAATTGTATCATTCAATCAATACCTTTTTATTAATGTAATGTTACAAATAAACAAACTATAAAATTACAATAGTGTCCCTCATTTGTTTGGGGTTTTCTGCGGCAATAAAAATAAAGAGCTTGTGCAGCTTCTGAAATGCTAACATAGCTGGTTTTGTTTTACTGCAGTGTTGGAAGGGATCCCTGGGCAAAGAGAGGGTTTGCTCTTGTGTTCTCTTCTTAAATCTGTGCAACCTTTTAAAAAATGTATTAACAGGTATCTAATATTTGTTGCTTTCCTTCTCCCAGATTGCCCACATAGCTGTTGAAATGCATGCTGTATTATCCAGAGCATGTCTCATTTTTGCTTTTTTCTGTCTCTTATCTTTCCTTCTGCTTTTCAGTGTACACGATTCTGTCTAAGGTGCACTCTGATCGGAATGTATACCCTTCTGCTGGAGTTCTTTTTGTTCATGTTTTGGAGAGAGAGTACTTTAAGGGGGAATTTCCTCCTTACCCAAAGCCTGGTATGGGATGCTAACATCTTCCATATTATATAAAAATGCAGGGGGGAAAACAAAGGTTAAAAAAAAAAAAATATCAGGTCTATTTAGTATACCTTACAGTTCAGCATAGAACACACAAGGGGTAGTTTTTAGTTTCTGCGGAAATATCTTCAAATGAAATAAAATACACGGTCCTACATGTTTAAAACATTCTGGTTTGTGATCGTCGTTTATGAAAAGATGGATATAATGGTGTATTGTGAAAAATGGACTTGATTTGGGAAGGTATGATAGTGCATCTGAGATTAGGAAGTATACCTTTTCTTCACTTTTGCATTAAATACGAAGTCACGTAAGTTTAATAATTATGTCTGTTAAAAGTGCTATTTATCTGAATAATTACATCTGCTAAAAGTGCTAGTATGCATCAGGCTATATGAAGGAGCACTTGAGGGGGTAAACTTGAGACAAAACAGAACATAAAATCAAATATGAGATTACATAGTGATGTTTTCATTCATTTAAAACAAATGCTCCTTTGAATTCAGTCTTCTTCCTGTATTTAGTAACAGTTTAATGTTAGTAAGTAATCTAGATGTATCAGTGTCTGTATTTTAGTCCACCAATTTAGTTTTTAGAAAAAAGAGCTGTGATCTCCTGAGTACAATGTTTTGACGTACACCTAAGACAAACCTAAAGAGTTTATCGCTGGCAGTTAGAATATGTGGGAGCAATCAGTGGAGGAGGGAAGAGAAGGAGAGAGCAATCTGCCCCACCTAGTTATCAACAATGAAAAGGAATAATAAATGTCTAAATATATCCTATTCATATAAATACATATAAATACAGCTATTTTATTTTCCTATAAAAAATAGGAATAACCTACATAAAGATATGGTATACACATAAGCAAAGCCTGTTTCACTAATAAGCTTTTGAATTGATTGGAGAGTACTATTTTCAAAACTCACTTTAAAGAAAGAATAAGCTTCTGTTTGCATTGGTTAAATTTTGTCATGAATGAACCCAAAGTTTTTTAAATCTCTGCTCCTTGAAAAATAGATGCTTTTTCTGATATGTACACCTGAGTCTTCACTTCATTAAACAATGACTGGCAGAGTGAAGTTTGCCTCTGACCCAATTTTCTCCCGATTTTGGCACATAGGTGGAATAAACTTAGGGATTTTACTGAAGACGGATTGCCTTCGGAATCCTTACAGCCCCAGCCTGCCTTGGCATCCGTGTGATTTCGAAGGCAGCATGAATCTGATTTCAGCTACTGCTGAAATTGTACCCGTAGACGATCGTGAAAACATCAGAAATTTACTGTGTGATTGTTACCATGGTCTTTTTATTGTTGTCTGCTGTGTTGGATCATTAGCATGGCCTACCTTGATGAAGGGCAAACCAGAATGTATCACAGGTGGCTTTCGGCTTTTTCCCCAAATCATTTGTGATGATGGGAATTTTATTATGATTGCAATAGATTAGATTACTGGGGTGTCCCAAGTGCATGACAAGGAAAGTTGAATTACACTCTAGTGATGGTTTGGTGTGGTTCTAGTCTTTTTTTACTCACAGCTAGATGTGTAGATGCATGCCTGGAAACTAGTTATCCTTTGGCAACAGGTGTCAGTTTTGTTCTTCTCTGGAGGAGATGACAGCTGTTCTTTCTCCAGAGGGCTCAGTTTCTGCTTTCAGACATTAGTGATTACACAGCCACTTTTTTACAGTAAGGATGCCCAGGTACATTTGGTCTCCAGAGCCATTATTAAAAACAGAAATAAGATAAGGAGTTTAGGTGTTTCAATTCTAGGCCTTAGAAATTGGACTAGATGAGTGCAAGCACACAGAGTTAGCCAGGACTCTTATGAAGTACCCGCACATTAATCTTAGCAGTTGGTTACACTTTTCAGATAGGAATTTCTTAATATTTACAAGTTCTGAGTAGGACTTCACATATTTCTGCTAAGGTGAAGTCTAGCAATTTAATTTTTTTTTTTTTTTTTGGCAAATGTTTAGAAGACGACTGGAAGACAGAATAAGATTTTCTAATGGAAACATCAAAATTGAAGTGCGTGGTATTCTCTTTTCAATGCTCTAAAATATTTTTTCTTATCTAGGTGAAATAAGTAATGATCCTATAACATTTAATACCAACCTAATGGGTTACCCTGACAGACCTGGATGGCTACGCTATATCCAGAGGACACCATACAGTGATGGGGTGCTGTATGGCTCACCAACGGTAGAAAATGTGGGCAAACCAACGATCATTGAGGTATTTTCTTTTAAAGGTTCAAAAAAATTTCTTTTGTTTTAGAGTATAAGATTCTGAATTTTCAACAAGCATTATTACTTTTTTTTTGAAAAGTTAATTACAGTTTAAAAAAAGTATTATAAGACAGGGACAAGGACTTGTGATGCTAACATTTTCTCTTAGCTACCATTATATCCTCTTTTGAGAGAAAGCCAAGTTATAAGACATTTCGTGTTTTACTTTTAAGATAAAACTAGTAAAAAGCAATAACCATTTAAGCTTAATATTCCTCAATGAAATACCTTTATATTCTTCCCCTTCATCTTTCTAAGAGGCATTTCATTTCAGTTAATTGTGAACATATTAAAGTTGTGCTCAAAATATGATGGGCAGAGGTATTTGTGAGCAACTGTACTTGAAGGATGTTTGAATTCTGAACTTTGTATCATTATTCCCTAAATATGGGCTAGACTTTTCCTGACTGGAAAATACAGTGTTCAGTCACTAAACAGGTTTGGGGTTTGGTTTTTTTTTTTAAATGAAATTATTTTTCATCAAATATCTGGTTCATTATTCATGTTTATTGATAGATTTAATTTTAATTAGCGTATATTAGCAGTTAGATGTTTTTAGTTCTACTCTTAGAAGTGTAAAAACAACAATACCCACTACTTTGTTTTTGAACAGTTATGCAAATGTTTAAAAGCACCAGTTATATTATTCACTGAGCAGCCATTGGAAGGGAAAAAGGACTGTATTTTCTGCCACGCACATCGTAGCAGACTGAATTGGGCTGTGTGGTTCGCTGTGTTAAGGAAAATCTGCTCATTAACTTGCTCCAGCCATTTTGCTGTTTCAGCAGTATATTGGTCTTAAACCCTTGATGACTTTCTTTTTTTCTGAATTGCATTTCATATATTTGTTCTTCCTCAAGAATGACATCTATAAATCCTAGGTTACGATGTAGATAATTTCACCCATGCTTAATTCTGTACATGATTCAGTTTTGATCTCAGCAGGACTAATCACATCTTCTAATCATGTGCAGAAGTACTTGCAGACTTCATTTAGCTTTCTGTGGAGGAAACCATTATTTAAAATATTTAGATTATAGAATCTATATCAATCAAGATGTCCATTACAAGTGTGACCCCAAGCCTACATTCGAACTACTTGCTTAGCATGCAGATCAATTCATTGCAGTGCCCTCTCACATGTGGCTTTTAAATTAATTCTGTAGTACTTGAGGAGGACAGATTGCATTCCGTCTACTTCCTAGTGCCATCTGAGAGGAGTGGTTGCATATTCCTGGCCTGAATATATCTGTCATTGTGTTGTAATTCCTGAGGTGATGTCATGGTTAGGTCAATAAATTGGAGGAGACCTCATCATCAGAAGAGTCTAACATTATGCACAGCACTGCAATAGAGTAGGTGAGATTCCTGGGCTCAGCTTTGTGCACTGTGCACAGTCCGGTTGTGGTGAATCAATGTTTTAGTTCAGAGGCAATTTTTGCCACTGTCACCATCACTTGGTACAGGTCCGTGGTCCACACAGGCAACTCTCACTGCTGGAGTGCAGACCCAAAGTGGGTACTGTCACCTTGCTGTATAGAGCTGGTACAGCCAGGGACTTAGGTTTAATACTTAGGTTTTCTAAGTATTAATGTTTAAACTACTGTTGAAACAACCCTTTGAAAAATTAACAGAATCAAGGAGTTGAAAAATCTCAGGAATTTATTTTCTATTCATTTGATAATGAAATTGTTGCATTACATAAGGTGCAATTTTGTCAGGTAAGCTTTTCCTTCTAGACTTAACCTGCAGAAGATATTCCAGAGCATTTTTCCTTTGGATTTCAATCCCTTAAAGGAAGTGCAACATCTGTTACTTTCATTTAGTAATCTGTGTGCTTTGTAGCTGTTTGTGGAGAGGCAACATAGTTTTCCAACTATTGCCACTCCTCTGCCTCTCATTTGTCCTTTAAATGAGTTAACTAAAGTCTAAAATTAGGAAGAACATTAGTCTATTTCAGTTTGCTTTGTGAAAGATCTACCACCTTTCAGGAACAATACATGTAGAGAGAATTGTACTGATTTCCAGCCTCATTCTGTATTTCTTATCAGTGAGCACTGATTTAGTACAACTTTGGAGTACAGTCACACTGAGGAATAACCACTTGTGAGAAATTTAGGCATCACATTTATTTAAACTATAAGATTGGTATCCTCGTGTAATTTGATCATGAAGGCATAGGTTTCCAAAAATGAGTCATTAATGCTGCATCTACCTACTAGCTTTCAGTTCCTCTACAGATTCTGGGTTGCTTTGAAAAACTACTTGTGTTAAAGCAATGTTTGTGAATCCTTTCATGGAATATGTCTTCAGTGGGGCTAGAGCGAAAATTAAATCTCAATCCCAATGATTAGAATTGCTGGGATTCCAACAATCTTTCCTTTAAATGTCTCCCATCTAGTTTAGCTCCCTGGGAGCTATCACTGAATGTAGATCTTACGGTATTGGTGGAGAGGGGTGGAGAATGGAAGGGTGAATGGAGATACCAGTCTTTGCTTATGGTTGTTCTTAAAGATGGCAGAAAAGGAAGAATGCACAGGTATGGCAAATTGCTTTTGTCTGATCCAAAATAAGTTATATTCATAATACATCCCTTTGATAACTGTATTTGGCTATACACTGGTCAAGAAAATTCCAGTACCTTGACTGTATACAGTAAATTGATCTTACCCTTCAAATTTTATATTAATGAATGAATGTTCATACATTTCAAAATAAGGAGGCAAAGCATTTAAAAGTTGATAAGCATTTATAAATGTCAATTTAATTTTCATTGATGTTTCATTACCTGTTTTTCATATTTGAGTTGTTGTTTTGCAATCATATCTATCTTTATTTTGTTTATTCCAGATCACTGCATATAACAGACGTACCTTTGAGACAGCAAGGCATAATTTGATCATTAATATAATGTCAGCAGAAGGTATGTACAGAAAATAGCTTGTTGTGTTTTGAATTAAGTAAGCGAAAACATCTTATGAGCGCTTATTCTTTGAAGATTAAAAAATTAAAGTAAAATAGTTGTCTGGTGTTCAAGCCAGATGTGGGGGCACAAGGGGCAAGTAAGAGAGTTTTCCCTCTTAATTTAGATAAAAAGAAATTGAATCATTTCTGCCAGGTAAGAAAGATTCTTCATTTGTAAAAAAAAATTGGGTTTTTTAATAATTAATTTCCATTTTTTTCCTTGTCTTTTCAAGTGAACCTTTCCTGAAGTATTTAACTGTCTGCATGTTATTTAGTTTGCTTAGTTCTGCATGTTCTCTATGCAGAGAACAGTTGTATAGGCAGATTCAGAAAACAACAGGTTATGGCATATATAGACATTTGAATTTTAAAAAAATTGAATAGTTTGTATCTTTAAGATCAGTTCTTTTCATCATATTTATATACGTATCTATATATGTAGTCTGGAGTACTGCAGGTTGGAATCCATTGTCACTGCAGATCAGTTTAGACCCCCAAATTAGCATGAATATGATTTTATCTTTTGAATGAAGATTTACCAGCTGAGACTTTTCTTCTAGCCTGCTCTTTCATATCCCAGTTCCTTTATAAATAGTCAGTGGTTTTCACCTTAAGTAACAGCTGACAGTACTATTAAAACAAACATAATCACAGCAGGTTCCAAGTGAGCTAGTTTAAACACAAGATTTTTGGAAAGGTGTATTACTTATTACTCGTCATTGCTTCAAACACTTGGCAATGGAACCTTTGTGTAAGGCAGAACCCTTCCTTTCCTCACAACCAGACTTTCCTTTGCCGTATCAAGCGGAGTTCTTCATCAGGAACATGAATGTGGAGGAGATGTTGGCAAGTGAAGTTCTTGGAGACTTCCTCGGAGCAGTGAAGAACGTGTGGCAGCCGGAGCGCTTGAATGCCATAAACATCACTTCAGCCCTTGACCGGGGAGGGAGAGTCCCACTTCCCATTAATGACATGAAAGAGGGGTAAGCACACCTGTCAGTCCAATGCTTCTGCTTGGCTCTTTTTTCCCTTACTGAAAAGCTTCATATTTTTCAGATTTTCTAGAAACTTTGCAATTGCTGCTTTATATTTTGGAGATCCAGATGGGTATTAGATATGAAAAGTTTACTGATGTTCTGACCCCACTTTATAGCGTGAGTTTATCAGTTTAGCAGGCAACACTTCTGACAGGTTGATTTTACAATCCAAGGAATATTAAAATGGTAATGAAAGAATATTGGAATGATTTGGGGGTCAAGTTCAATGAATTATAAACCAGTTACTACTAAATATACGTATTATGTAGCTATTATATATATCCAGTCTTACTTCTGAGCAGTCGTTTGGCATGCTTTTCCAGTATTTAATAATTCCAATTTCACAAAACTCCAAATTTTGCAACAAGGTGTGATGGAGCATAGGTTACAAAGGCACTTAGATGTCTAAGAGCAGTTAGCATTTAAGTGTCATTCATAGCTGTACTTTTACTTAGTGATACTTAATTATGTGCTTCAAGAGCACTGTGGACTTCCATCTGAAAGTGAGAAGCTGAGGTATCTGAGGAATTTAGATATTTTTGTTAAATTTTGTTAAATTAAAATTGGGAATTTTACTGAGTGTAAACTGCAGGAATTAGTTATTTCCAGTAATGATTCGTGGCCATAAATCCTGTTCTGAATTACGATATGTCACTTAGAAACTAATAAGGATTCAGTCTTTCCAGAAGATGGTTGTGGCCATGCTTTTCCCTGGCAAAAATAAATGTGCTTAGTTATTTTAGTTTTTTTAAAATATTTTAGGGTCAAATATTATCTAAGAAGGAGCTGAGAGGTCTCAATCTGAGATGTGTGTAGAAAATATTGTTGTTTCAGAGTGCTTTTGTGCACCTGGAGTTTTTGAACACATATAAAGAAGGAAAGTGGCTTCTGTACCAGCCAGAGTAATAGCAGAGCCGCTTAATACAAGTGGCTACATTTCAAACATTTAGTTAGATACCACCAAATATACCTAATGGCAACGAGGACCTCATTTCTGTTTTAGGACCCATTGATATATTTTTACCTGGTGTAGCAGACTGTATTTTCCAGCAGCATTCTACACATTTAAATATGAAAATTAATACTATGATTACCACATTTGCTCTTATTTTATGTACTGTACTGCTAAGTAAAGTTTACATTCAGCTTTCAGTATTCTGCAAATTTTGTTGGCAGTGTACAGCTACAGTATGGAATCTCATACGAGAAGCTGGAGACTTTGGCAGGTTCATATTAGAATTAGGTTTAGAAATAACTAGTCCTTGTGAATCTTATTGGAAAACATGGGAAGAGACTCTTTAAAAATACTATGCTGAGCAAGATAGAAGATTTTCTTAAGATATAATTAAACAATTTAATGCAATTTTCAAAAGTAGTACTGATTTACTTATGTGAGGAACCTACACTTGGAGCTCTAGGACTTCATACAAACGAACAACTCTGATGGTAAGCAAACATTTACATTTTGCAGCAAAACGGAATGCCTTGTAATAAGTAGCTAGAAAAATCCTTTTGATTTTAGTCTGTTATTCAGAGGCACAGATGAAATATACTATCAAGAAAAAAAAGAATAAAAGTAATTTTAGGCTTTAAAGCACAGCTGACTGTTACAGTGTACAGTAATAATGTTTGGAAGAGTATGTCATTGCCCTCTGGGGATTTGTGGGGGATATCCTGATGGTCTGTCGCTCATCTTTCTGCAGTGTGTATGTTATGGTTGGGGCAGATGTTCCATTCTCTTCATGCTTACGAGAAGTGGAAAACCCACAAAATCAGTTGAGATGCAGTCAAGAAATGGAGCCTTTAATAACCTGTGATAAAAAATTTCGTACTCAATTCCATATTGACTGGTGTAAAATCTCTCTGGTGAGTTATTTTATTTTTGCATTAAAATGATGCTTGTAGAAATACAGTATTTTATGGCAGGGAGGATTTAGGTAAGAGTTTTGACAGCCTTGCCATATGGCTTTGCTGAATTCCACTGTTACCATGACTGACTGACATTGTTTCCTGTCTACCAGACACTCTTAAACTTGTAGAAGGATTTTATTATGTGGGCTGAACTCTATCTGAGTTGAGCACCAGTGAAACACCATACTAATTTTCAGTAGCAGAGATTTATATAAATGATCGGAGAACTCTAAAGCTTACAGAACTGAAAGTAAGGGGAGAATTATTTAGTTAGGTGCAGTTCATTAGTGCGGCCTGCTAATACTGCGAGTTGCTTTCCCAAAATGTGTACGTGTGTGTAGAAAACAGGGTGAATTTCAAAAGCAGCAGCAGAGGAATAGTGCACTAATACAAGAATAGCCAACAGTATCCATGCAGAATGAAGAGCAGCTGGTTAGGACATAGTGGCTCATAAACTACATCACCTTCTTGTTAATGTTTTTCTCTGACAGCTTGTTCTCACACCATGTGAGGGGTTCTGTCAGTCACCTCAGTAAGTGCATAAATACTTGTTATGCATTGCTTGGGGTTTGAGATGCAGCCAAGCACCCAGGTGGAACTTGGTGTACCTAACATAAAAGATCCTGCAGAATTCGTGAGTCGAGAATACATAAATTAATTTTTGTCAAAATGTCTGGTACTGCTATATGAACACATCTGAAGCTCAAGAAATCATTATTTCTAGCATTCCATGAAAACCTGTTCATTCATTGCATAAGTTGTGAAAACACCGTTTCATAACTTAGTGTGAATTATAAAAAAATGAGCATCAGTTGCAAGAGTCAGGCAAAAGGTCAAGAATGTTGGCAAATGTAATTTACTTTCATTAGTGATCTGGAGGGAGTTTTAAAACTAACACTGATGAAATTTAAAATCTATATCAAACTGAAGATACAAGAAAATTAAGGCAGAAAATGGAAAGGTCATGTGGGAAAGGCCATCAATTAAATGCAATATGGAAGTCTGTAGCAAAAAAGAGGTTGTATTTCTGGACACATTAGATACAGACATAAAAAAAATTACTTGTGACCAGGAATGCAGCCTTAGGAGGTAGGAAAAAAAACCCCTTGGAACTCTGGCTCTCATCAGCTAAATGCACATCTTCTGTTGGGGTGCTTCCTGCATTGAGTTGGGGGCGAGGCCACCAGAGCTGCTCAGTCCTCAGCAGCTCAGCTCATGCTTCTTCATTTAGTTTTTTGAGCACTGGAAATGAAGCTCAGTAGGAAGGAGGAGGAAGGAAATTTTAGGTACTCCACTCTTCATCTCTACCACCTTCATACAAGAGAGGGCAGTATTGCTATATAGGAAGACTACTAAGAAATGGATGAATTCATCAAAAAGAAATCAGTATCAAATAGTTAGTTTGCAATGAAAGTGTTTACTGAATTTTTACTCAAATATTATTGGTGTGAGAGATCCCTAAAATTAATCTGTAAAAACCATAGTGTCTCTGGCAGGCACAAAATCAAGTAATAATGTAATATTACTTCCCACATGGATCAGAAGCTTTCAACAATATTTAAGGTTTTATTTAGAAAAAGTGATTCGATGAAATTGTATCGAATTTGTCAAATGTGTAACATGGATTCCTTTAAATGTTATTGTTGGTTAAATACTGCCTGGTTTTACATTCTGTTACTTTGTTATATAATTTTTTTTTCTTCTTTTTTTTTTTCTTTTCTGGGTATCAGGTGGACAATACAAAACAAGTTTCCACCTTTCAGGAAGTGGTTCGTGGAGAGGGGATATTACCTGACGGTGGGGAGTACAAGCCACCCTCTGACACGCTGAAAAGCAGAGACTATTACTCGGATTTCCTGATCACACTGGCGGTGCCCTCGGCAGTAGCACTGGTGCTTTTTCTAATCCTTGCCTACATCATGTGCTGCCGACGGGAAGGAGTGTGAGTACCTTAGCACGCTAATCAGCGGTTGCAGAGTTTTCTAAGGTTGTAATGCATAGAAGACTATTTGTTAGAATAATTCCATTCAGTTCATTAAAAACACTTAAAACGAGCCAAAAGATACCTGCTTGAAATATTGCAGTATTTCTCATCTAAGCACATACAGTAATTTCCAAGAGAGTGGACCTAGGGCCTCTAATTATTCTAGTTGAGAGGGTTAAAAATCTCAGCATACGCACAAAACTCCACAAAATCTGCACGTGTGCACAACTCTCTAAAATGCCCCAAACAAATAAAATACTAATAAAGGACCACTGATTCAGGGAAGTATTAAGTAATTTCTAAAATGCTAACTTTTCTAAAATAGATCTGGTTGAGGTGAACTGAATTTAGATATAAAAGAAAAAGACCCATAAAAGGAAAGCAGCAAGTAACGTAATTTCTGCCATTTCTTACACAAACTACAATTTCATTTTGTCACAGAATTTATTTTAGCCAGAAGCTTATTCTTCAGCTTGCGTTTTCATTTCTCTGTGTGTGTGTCTGTGCGTGTGTCTGGCATCAGTGTCACATCTCTGTATGTGCGTTCATCGAGGCCTCATCACACACCCAGCTGCAAATGCTGCCAAGTTGCCTTTAGCAGTAACGTTGTCAGCATTTCTACATCTTGTACTACTTCCATCTTCAGGTAGATTTAATGTTCCAACTATCAATGCTATTATTTAATTCATAAATTTTGTTTTGTTTTTAGGGAAAAGAGAAACATGCAAACACCAGAGTAAGTGTCTTCTTTCCTGTTATTTTTCTTTTACCATTTAATTTTCATTCTCAGTAGCTTGTCATGCTTCATACATGTGTGTCATAATCTTCTTTCACTCTTTCTAATCCATGGTTTAATTCGTAAATGTGAAAGCTGCTTTTAAATCAGAGTCTTGGCAAAGATAGAGGACCAGAGTAAAAAGGGTTTGAAATTAACGACTGTCAATTCAAAATAAAAGAGTGCTGTTAGAATAAATACGTTAATATGTAATTTAAACTCCTGGTTATTGGACTTCCCAGCCTATATCTTCAAGGCAGTGGACAGGAGAACAAATATCCTGGAAGGTATCCAGGGCCTATACTATGGAGCGCCTTGAAATTAATCTATGAGTTTCTAGAAACGTACCACAAGAATCGGGAGTTAACCAAAACTTTTAACTGCAGCAAATAAACGGAACATTAGCCATAAATTGCAAAGTCTTGGCTTCTATGAAAAATACTTCTTCAGACAGCAAAATCTAATGGAATAATTACTTCCTTAAAAACTAAATAAATCCACCATTTATTAAATTAACTCTATAAAAGTTTACTGTAATTGCTGCACGGTAGAGTCTGTAGCATGCGTCGAAGTCCTCCTTTTAAGAAAGATGATAGTTGTGGAAGCCCGTGCGTTTTGCCCGAGCGCTTAAGAATTCAGCCTTTGCTGTTTTGTTTCCGCGGGATGCAGCATCCAGCTGGTGCACCACAGCGCCATACAGAAGTCGAGCAGAGAGCTGCGGGACATGTCCAAGAACCGGGAGGTGGCCTGGCC